CTGCCGTCGGAGAGGCTCTCCACTTTGTCTGAACAACTTGAGGCATCTTCCTCCTTTTTTGTACTGTCTGCCTCCGTGGTTGCTTTCTCTTTCAGCTTCTTTTTGCAGACTTTGACAATGTCATACATGTGGAGATAACTGGCAGCTGCTAGCACGTCTTCAATGGGCAAGTCTTTGAACTGGAGCTTTCCTTCGTACATGAATTCAAGCAGGAGAGCGAAAGCTGGGGCTGTAACAATGTCGCTGTTCAGATGAACAATGTCCCTTTTGTCCAGCTGGTCCTTGTAAAAGAGGTGGAAATACATGCTGCATGAAGCCAGAACAGCTCTGTGCGCTCGGAACTGGGCATCTCCTACCAGAACAGTGCAATCACAAAGAAAACCCTGATGTCTCTGCTCACTCAGACACTGCAGCAAATGTCTACTGTGGTCAGGAAACTCCATACTGTCTTCATAACCTATAAGCAACAAGATTTTTAAAAATTAAATGTAGGTTGGAATCACAGAACTTACGAATCCAAGTAATTCCACTCTAAAATCCCGTATTTATATTGCCGAAATTCTGGTACTGACACCACGCAAAGATTACTTAACATGCATGTACGATGGCAACTCTTTCCCCGACTTACCACCACAGTTATGATTTCCCTTCTGTGGTAAATAAGCCAGTCTATTAAGCGCAAAGGTACATCTGTAATTTTTTTTTTAAGTATCACTGCTGTTCATAAAATCTGTTCAACAGTTTTGTGGGGTTTTTTTTAGGGAACTTCTTCCAGATTGCATCCATAGGAGGGCAGACCCCAAAAAAATTTTTTTTTGAACACTAAGTTTAAGAGATCACAGAAGCGGAAGAAAAAAAAAAAAATCAGATAATCTACCTTCTTTTTAAAGTCAAACTGTAGTAAGAGGAGAGGTTCATACATGAAGAAATGCTAATATACCCAAATCTGATGGTCTAACATTCATAAGCTAGAAAAATTATTTACATGTGTCAACTTATATCAACAGTAAAAATAAAAGTTTTTAGAAATTTAGTTTGCATTGTTTTCTTCTTGTAGTAAGTACAGTTTTTTTAAGGCTTTAGACCTTTTCCATACTGTACAATATAACATGAACATTTTTTGCCAACATGCAGAATACACAAAGGAAAGCTAACAACCAAAACGCCAACGAACACCACTTCCCTGTGCAGAAGGACAGAAATTTCCTTCCCCTCCCACACCAGGCAGTTCGCAGTACCAAGCTCAAAGAAAAAAAAAAAGTCATTCAACGTGAGCGTGTGTGCATGTGTGCAGGTCTAAAATCAGTATCCCAAGTACTATTCTTACCCAAGTGTCTTTCTATTTGCCTTCCTTGATGATAAAGAAAAAATAAACTTAAAAAAGAAGTAGAGAAGTCAAAATTCAAATGAAAAGTAAAATCTCTTAAAAACCTGTCTTAATCTATTCTTCTGTGATTGATAGCAATGGTCTCCCAAATCATCTAAGCAGATCGTGACTCTTAGGCTGGCAGATATTACTGAAAAACCCCCATCCCTCACAAACCAAGATGTACTAAAACTTACAACACGACCCCTACTATATTCTGTAAAATACCATTGCTAGAGTAAAGCACGAAGATTTACAATACAATCACTTTAAGTGCCCCACAGCCAACATCAATCCTAATCCTTAAGAGGGCTAAAAATAAAGATTGGAGGGCAGCTCACAAGGTAGCTGTGATCAAATTAGGAGGCTGAAAGGACAGAGAGGGACGAAGAAGGAAGCTTATAAACATCTGATCCAGCTGACTGTGGCCATATGGCAGCTGCTGCCCAGATAAAGAGATTAAGAATAGAGGAGTGCGATTACAGCTGTCTGGCCAATTCAGGCAGCTCAAATCTACAAGTTCTAAATTAGTCGCAAATACAAAAACTCCTTCAAATAATTATTGTTACACTAAATAAAAGATTTCAAATGCTACATGCAAGAAAGAAAAGAGGAAACCAGTCAAGCCATTCTCCTGGGTACAAAAGTTTTTAAACACATAACTGATTTCTATCTTTCAGAAGCACTACAGCTGTATGCTACTGTGTTTCTGAGCTGCTGGATATTTAACCGTGAAGTTTAATGAAAGACTTGCCCACAAACAGATTTTAGCCAGAACGGTCCTTTTCTAAAAAAGCACACTTTCGTATATTTCCCTAAACCCCCCGCAAAGTCATCTAAAAGATGCAAGACAAGAGCATAAAGCAGAACTCTCTTTAGGCTTGCCACTAAATCCACTGCAGTTTTGGTCCTAGAAATGAAGAATGAACTTGCTCTCTCCTTTTTCCAAACCAAGACATTCTCACAATATGTATTAAAGTTAATGCTAACAATGTGCCCAAGAACTGGTACTATGCAACTGTAGCCCAAGCCTTTTGACTAAGTCCACTTATCTATTTAACACTCAATTTCATATATTACCTCTAAACTTGGTTAGAAAAGTAATGTGATTTTTTTTCTGAAATTCAATAAACAACACACCAAAACAGAAATATGCTGTATCTAATCTATTGCTACTCCTACCTTTAGTACACATAAACCTGATTAAGTCCTTTCCTCTGAGTCTTGCTGGCTCCAGGTCTGTTAGATCGGTGGAAAAAAAGCAGACTAGGAGAGACAGATGCAAAGTGGAGATGATGTTAGAGAGGAATGAGATACCTTCTCCACACACAGATCTGCACACACTAACTCCCTGTCTGTGTGTTAGAATAAAAGGCTGAGGGATGGCAGGCTGTCAGCTGCTCTGACATCATGTTCAGATGGAAATGCTACCTCCAGCTGTGCTCCTTTTAATGCCATATGCTACTCCTCTACACTCCTGCCACCAGCTTTTTCTTAGGAGAACTTTTCTCTTCTGTTAGTATAAACAAAATACTTCAAAGTCTCTTTTTTTCAAACTTTCTAACAGGGAGGAAAAAAAAAAAAAAGAAAATCCTAAACATATGGGGCTCTGCTGTATGTGCAGCATAGCAACACTTCTGCCTTAAGTTGGAGGACCGCTTTATGTGCTGACAGCGTACCCCAGCCACGGGGTTACCCCAGAAATCCACACCGGCTCGGTTTTACCGAGTCCTGGGGTTACAAGCAGAAATTAACCGGACCCATTTATCACCTCACGGCTCCCCGCTTCGCAGCCGGTCCTTGCAGTTCCAGCGTTTAAGACAGCGCAAGTGACACCGAGCACCAACTCGGGCTCCTTCGGAGCCGCGGAGCAGCTCCCCCGGCCGGGGCTCTACTGCGAGCGCTCGGCTCGACTCCCGCACCGCTCTCGCCCCGCGGGGGCCGGCGCTGGCCATCTCTGTGACCGCAGCGACCCCGGGACGCGGGTCCCCGGCCCCGCAGGCTGCGAGTGGCCACCCCGCCCGAGCGGGAGCCCCGAGCCCCGCCGGCCCCCCCTGTGACACTCACGCGTGTCCCAAGGGGGGCGGGCCAGCTGCCCGCTGCCGGGCAGGGACAGCCCGGCGCCCCCCGGGACGGGACGGGCGGGGAGGCGGCGGCGCGCACCAAGTTCCCCGCGGGCCTAGCCCCCTCTTCCCCGCCGGGCGGCGGCAACTTTTGGCCGGGGCTGTGTGTGTTCCCCACCCCCCCCCCGGCCCCGACAGCCCCGTCCGGGGACCCGGTACCGCAGGCAGCGCCGCCCCCGCCTGGGGCCGGGCCGTGGCCGGGTGCGCCGGCAGCCGCCCCGCGGGGAAGGAAGCAGCTGCCCGGCGCGCAGGAAAAGCCGCCCCCGGGTCACGGCGGCAACAAAAGAAAAGTAACCGGGAGCGGCGCCTGGGCGGCCAGTCCCGCCGCCCGGGGAGCGCTGCCCCCGCCCCTCCGCCCACCCCCCGCCGGACCCGCCGCCAACTCCGCCCGCCCCGCGGGGCCGCAGCGGCCCCGGCCCCGGGTGTGTGGGGATGAGGGCAGCGGGACTCACACTGCGCGGCGGCCCGAAGTCCCCGCGCTCCCGCCGCCGCCCGCCGGCTCCTCTTCGCTCACTTGCCGCTCCGGGATCGCGCCTCGCCCCCCGCCCGCCCCCCGCGCCCGCTGGCCGCCGCCCCCCCCCGGGCTCCCCCCTGCCGGCGGCTGAGGAGCGAGCGGGGCAGCCGGCGGAGCGAAGCGGGCCCCGGGCTCAGCGGCTCCCCATGGCACCGGCGGGGCGCGGGGGCGGGCGGGGGTCGGGGGCGGGCGGGGGCGCGG